TGGATGCTTGCCGCAATTGAGACTCTTGTATCTGTTGACTTTCCCTTTTCAACAATGGATTTTGACGGTGGTTTAACCATGGATTTTGAATATTGATGATATTCCTTAGTTCTGTTCCAAATATTGTATTTAAACTCCAGTTTCATGTTAAGTTAAAGAAAATAAACTGCTATATATAGAGGAAAAAGCACAGGGAAAAAACCACCAAGATAGATGTGTAAAATTTAGGAAAATTCCATTTGAATATCGTTTCATCTGTTTCTCATTTATTTACATTAAGATCATTGATATCTTATTTGATTTTACTGTTCTTTCTCTTCTATAGAACGTATGTGCGGATTTTTCCTTGTTTGTTGTTTGAAGGGTAGATTACCGCTTAAAAGCCGCTGTTTTCAATCAGAACGAAAAGAATTCATTCTGCTCTATCGATGATATACACAGACAGAACGCAAGAGTACAATTTTGTATTTTTTTATCGTTCTTTCTCAACGTTAGAAGAGCCTGCATATAATAGGTTAAGGGGATAGATAATATTGGAATTACCTTCTAGTTATGTTTGGATTTTCTCCTTCATAAGTTATTTGACGCGAATTAATAGATTATTCCAGATCTCGAGTTAAAATAATCTTGATAGATGCATATCGGTTTATTTCAAAGTGTTACAAGTGCATTCATATATACATCTGTATGTCAAGCTGTTCTTTCTCTTCTACTATCTCTTTGTTTGTTCGTTTTTCTGTCATTAATGTATTATTCGTTTATCTCTATCGTTTATCGTCAATTGCATTTAACACCCGTTCAGCATTGGTTCTAAATTTAGCCAAGAATTATATGAAAATGAATCCAATGTATATGCATATCTTGTTCATAATCTACTAGATTTATTTTCGACTCACATTCGTTTTACTAAGTGAAATACGAATGGTGCCTGATTAAATTTATATCCTAGTTTGATAATGCATTTTTTGTAATATTCTATAGCTTGAAGTTCTTTTTCGATTCTTTGAATAGGAACTAGCACCGCATGACAGTTCCTCTGAACTTGAACTAATTCATATGGCTAGTTCTTTTGAAATAGAACTGATCGAAAGTCAGTTCTTTTGAACTAGAACTGTTCGACAGTTATAGTTCGTTTCAAATAGAACTTTTAATTCTTTACAGTTCTTTTGAACTTCAACTATTTTATAGTTACAGTTCTTAGAACTAAACGGGAACTGTCGCAGGCCTACATACAACTGTTATCGTACTTTTCGAAAAAAGACACTAACAATCTTAGAAATCATGAATGAAGGTGCCCAGAGATCTGAGATATCAATAAGACGAAAGAATTCATAGAAAAAANTTTAAAAGTAATATTTAAACGAGTTCAAAGTCAAACAACCATATCGTCTGTTCACAGATATCGATTAATTTAGAACAAATGCAACCACAGTGATATGTCTAGACAAGTACGAACAACTTACAAAGAAAGATCATGAAATCAAAGCAGGAATCGAACCTACATCTTCCGATAACCGGTCGGCTATTCTACCGTTAAACTATTTGATTTTCTCTCCAACTAAGATATTAGTTGCATATCGAACATTTGTGAGGGTGTGAGTCAAGCAATTCTACGACGCGGTTCGACTATTGCTGAAGCAGTCTCATCAGGTAGTTTAGACTGTGTAACCATCAAAAGAATGTTTTTTGTAGACGCGATATATGGTTTGGAGGATGACGGAAGCAGTGTAGTGGGAACGAGTTTTTTGGAATAATTGCTATGATTTTGTATGTAGTTGTCAGACTATTATGTTGCTCGCTTGTACTCGGATGCTGAAGACGAGAACGAGTAATATTTTAACGTTTGTTTACTGGATAGAGTAGTCTGTGGTGTTAGAAGAATGAGAATGGTAGTAAATGGGAAGTATTTATTTAGAAAGCAAGGTGTACAGATAGTTGTCTTTTTGTGTCAATGTGTTTTCGGAAATGTTATTTGTTCAGTTAATTGTGTTGCTGTGGTTCGGTGTTGTGGTGGACGTGTTGTGAATTGTGACGATCATTTCTTCGGGCTTAAGACTGCCTATATCAATATGAATAGTTGGTGAATGTAGGGCCGTTTGCAAGAGTTTGCTGGGTATCGTTGTTGGTGTTTCTGACTGGATACTAGTTGTTTTGAAACTTGGTGGCGTCCTTGGCATAGTGCCGACTGATTTATGGCCTATAGGAGTCATGGACAGTGTACCAGTTGATTTCCTAGATGGTGTTTCATCGGGCATGTTAACGGTTAGTATTTGTGTTGGCCGGTTTTGCACTGTGCCGGTAGTGGTTGTACTTACCGTTTGAAAAGTGATTTGTCCTGTCGAGAGTGATGATGTAATAGTTTCACTGCTTCGCACGGTAATTGTGTCAAGTATATTATGAAGACACGAAGATACCTGTATCGTAGTTTGACCTGAATATGAGCGTTGAAGATCGAATAAAAACTAGTTTACTATTTTGAAATGTTACTTTGTGATTGAGATGAAGGAAGTGAACTATTTTTTTCGATCGCATGAGAGTCCTATGTTATAGTCAACAAAATAATAGTGTGTCTTATCCGATAGAGAGAAAGAAGAACATTATATTTACTTGAAGATAGGCTATATCTAATGAATTAGGCGTCGTTTCAATAGATGAGTCATTTTTCTTGTTATTATTCGTAGTAGTAATACTTGTTGTTTCGATTCCTGTTGTAGTTTGTTGTAAATATGATTGATCATATTGTTGCCGAAACTCGGTATTATTGATCAGTTCTTCACAGATGCTATCAAGATTGATATTATTGTTTGAATTATCAGTTGTCATTGGATCAATGTAGTTTTGATTGTCGAATGATAATAGATAATCTAAAATATAGAAAACAAAATAGATAATGTTTTTCCAAAAGTTAAGTTCTAAATATAAAAATCAATATATGTAATGGTAGGAATCCGACATTCTACGATTGCGATATTGACTTTGCTAAAGGATTTCATCGTGTAGATTAGACTGTGCATCTGTTCTGCTATGTATAGAACAATAGATGTGATTGATACTATTTGAAAGTGAGAAAGTATATTGGTGTTTTAATTCTTTTATTTATTCATAGAGAGTTTCACAATGTGTTATGAAATATGCTGCCAAGAATAATGTTGAATTGTTTTTATGATTATTTTCATCATTATAAAGGAACGTATGATTCTCTATTGAATTTGATCTGAAGTAGAAGCTTATGTTTTCTGCTTTTCTATTTCTCATTGTGCCGTTTAGTGCGTTTGGGACAGGTTCGTTGATACACAAGTCGTTTAGCAAGATTGGGATTGTTTCGTGTGCCGACAATAAGTCTTGTTTGTGTAACTGCTGTCTGACGAAATAGATCATTCCGTATCTGATGAATATCTTTTTTGTAATGAGCTAATCGATTCTCATAGGTGTAGTGAATAATTAAATTATTATCCCATTTCGATGGCTTTTTCAGTCCTGTTCCAACAAGGGATTGATTAGTTGCTCTTTAGGGCGCTGCGGGTCCACTTTTTTTCGGACCCGGACCCGGACCCGGACCCGACCCGAACCCGTAAAAAGTAAAAATCTTGGACCCGACCGGGTCTAGACCCGGATTTTTTTTTACAATGTTCAGCACCCTCTGTACATACAAAATTTAAAGAATCGAAGTCGTGGCTACTTTTAATTGGTTACCGGTAGACAAGGTGCTATACAAAGATCTTTTTGTGTATCCATATTCTAATATTGTTCATTATCAACGTCAACGTAATCGATTACGGCGCTGCGGGTCCACTTTTTTTCGGACCCAGACCCGGACCCGGACCCAGACCCGGTGAAAAAAAGAATTATTGGACCCGGACCCGGACCCGATCGGGTCCGGGTCCACTTGCAGCGCCCTATTGCTCTTTCAGCGTTGCAATTTATTGCATTGGTGAATCTTGTTTGTAATGCTATTTCTGGCGCGGTAAGCTGGTTTAGTAATAGTTGGCGTGTTGTTTCGAATTGACTTGAGTCCGCCGTTATGTGATAAAGTTGAGTTCAGTTTGTTTTCACACAGGGAGTTTTTCAACTGAGTATGAATAATAATATTAATTCGATAGAACGTCGTTCGTCTTCGAATGCTGATAATGTTGAACAATATCGAACTGCGCGTAGTAGAGCAGTATTAATGGTATTTCGAAAAACATGTTTTGGATGATCGGATTTAAAAGGTACAATATATGATTCAGTCGCTTCTTTGTAATAAACTAATGTATCCAAAATACCGTTCTTATTTTTGATAAGCAAATCTAAGAATGATACACTTGATCCAACTTGACGCACAAGTTTGATATTCGGATGCAAACCATTGGCTAGATCTAACATTTCATTAATTTTGTCCAACGATTCATTCGATGTATCTTTTCACATAAAGATATTAGCCAGAGTTAAAGTAAATGCCGAACCCATTGCACCACCGATCACTTGTCGATAGAATTTCTTTTTGTAAATAAATACATTTTCTGTGAGAACTAGACGACCTAATTTTCGAATAGCATCAATTGGAACTCCTCTTATTTTCTGGTAGCCATATTGTAAGAGAAATTCAGTCAGAATATCCAACGATTCTTCTTGAGGTAACATCGTATATAAATCGGTAATATCAAATGTACACAGATAAGTTGTTGATTTTAAATATCCATTTGCAATATAAGTTTGTAGACGACGAATGAGATCAACACCATCAACAATTGTCGTTGAACGGACATGTTTATCAAATAATGATCGAAGTAATCTCATGTAAAAATTTTAGCTCCATTAGTTTACTAAAAAGTACTTTTGATAGTTTTTTATCAAGTGAAAAAAATACTTATAAGTGAACCTTTTTAACCCTTTAAGGACGGAATTCTTTTTAAGTCGAAAAAACATTTTTTAAACTTTTTATTTTATTTTAAGTCAAAATAGTTACATAAAAACCTTATGATAATCGAAAAAACAATTTTTTTCGTCTTTTAAACAAAATGCTAATTTACAAGTGGAACATTCTATATTAGACCGAATCTCCGCTTTTTTACTGCTACAATAAGCACACCTTCTTCTCTTTACTTTCACAGGCAAATGCATTTCATTGTTAAATTTTAGAACAGTTTTTGATGGTGTTGGTTTAGGTTTTTCAGAAGGGGGTCTTCCACGACTTGATCGTTCATTACCATGGCACAGAGACTTTGCCAATGAAATCATGTAGTTCAAATATGTTAGTTTATCCTGAGTTAACTGATTATAACAAATAAATGAGTTGGAAATAGATGCATTTAAAAAATAAATGAAAATACGAAGCCAATTTCTTTTAGACTTGCGATCAAGAGAGAAAAAGATAGAAATCATGACGTCATTGTATGATAGTCACAAGAAAAAAGAATATTTGAGAGGACCTGTATGAGAGACAGAAGAGAGAAAGAAAAATATATGATAATAAATATAGATGTCTATGACCTTAATGACCTCATATATTTAACAAATTAATTTGAACAAAACATTTTTTCGTTACTGAAAAATAGGTGGGACAACGTATGTCCCACCGTCCTCAAAGGGTTAAGTGACTATTAGTATACTTATATGTAAAAAGTACTTTTTATTACTATAAAAAGTATCAAAAGTCTCGGATAGTACTGCATGATAAGTACTAAAAAGTACTAAGACATCCAGTTAGTCGTATAACTTGTATGGTGACAATAGTAACTATTCTTAAATCTGAAAGTACTATAACGTACTATTTTAAATTCTTTCAATTACACATAAAAATTTTTTACTTTGAGAAAAATTATGTTATACTTTCAATACAGCTATACAATCTTTTGTTAACATAACGTCTGATAGCTATAAACGTTACTTCAACCCCTGCAACTGCATTAGTACTGTGCTTTAACAAAGCACATTCGTTCGATTACTGTTAACAGTAATGCACGTCTCCAACAGTAATCCATTCTCACATGGAGTCTGTTGCCGTTATAGCATACTAAACATACGGTAAAAATTTACGTCTGCTGGTAGCGATCGTCATTTAATGGTTGAGGATATTATAACAGCAAATATAATTTTATTTCTCCTCTCTTCATCCTTTTTCCATTCAATTCAACTGCTCTCAAATACTTTTCATAATTTTATCTTTTCATCTTTACAAACAATGCAAATCAACTATACTCTATGATACGATATATACAGAAATAATTATGTAAAAACAACACTGCTGATTATATCGTATTATAAAGTATAGTTGATTTGTATTGCTTGTAAAGATGAAAAGATAAAATTATGAAAAGTATTTGAGAGCAGTTGAATTTGATGGAAAAAGAATGAAGAGAGGAAAAATAAAACTATATTTGTTGTTATAATATCTTAAAGCATTAAATGATGATCGCTATCGACAGACGTAAATTTTTACCGTATGTTGAGTATGTTAGAATGACAACATACTTGATCCAACGATAGATCACTGTTGAAAAAAAAATCTGCCATTGTCAATGAGAATCATACGGATGTACTGCATTAGAGCACTGTTAAGGGAGAAAATCTCATTCGAACCCCTACGATTGACTTCGAAGAGCAGTGAACGTTTGCGAATGGATTAGAATGGTCAAGAACAGCTGAAAAATCGACGGAACTGACTGAAAATGATTGAGGATGGATAGGAATGAGCAAAATTAAGAACAGATGAAACTGTCTGAATGTATTTCCTTTCGCCTCTTCAGTACTATATACTAGTGTAACTATGACGTTTGAAGTAATGCACAATGGTATTAGAAGGATAATGACTAAGATAATCTATGTCATACTTACTGATATACTCGCGCACTGTATTATGTGTCGAAGGTATAGGCATACTGAATTATTATTGAACAATTCTCAATCGGATGACAATAAGTCACTGAGCTATAGCCGGGAAATGATTGTATTAGGATGAAGTATGTTCTACTTTCAATGTATTGTTTTTTTATGCTGGTCAAGTACTGTCAATCACTCTATTGATTATGTCAAGGGTCATTGTTCAGATTGGAGGTAGATCATACTGCATTCTATGAAGCTCGCCTGAAAAGTACTTTAAAGTAATACTCTAATTAATTATTAGTAGGTGTTCGTAACTGTGTTTATTGAAATAATGAGAAAAATGACTGAAGTACCAGCTATTTATAGCACTCATCTTCCACGGGGGACGTCTATATACAAAGCTGACTGAGAAAAATACGCTTACGCGTCGGCTTGGCCATAACGAGAGTAGTACTTACAGTACTGGTCAAAATTATAAGAACAGAGCTTTTCTCAAAGTGTTAGCGTGTTCTCATCTCCTCTTTTCCTATTTAGACTAATTTAAAAATCAGTATATATACATCCAAGTACTNTGGCAGCGATGGTGATAGCGATGGTGGTAGTAGTGGTGTTAATGACGATGATAATGAAGAGGTTGAAACAACTGATGGTGATGATGAAGAAACAACTGATGGTGATGATGAAGAAACAACTGATGGTGATGATGAAGAAACAACTGATGGTGATGATGAAGAAACAACTGATGGTGATGATGAAGAAACAACTGATGGTGATGATGAAGAAACAACTGATGAAGAAGATGAAAAAAGTGATGATGATGATGATGATGATGACGATGACAGAACAACAAATGAAGATATTAAAAGCAGTACCGAGACCAGTGATGATGATTATGGCTATTAAATAAAAGATTTTGCTCTCCACGACATAGATTTAGTAAAATTGCACGAAAATATTTCACTTAAAGTAATCATAAGTTGCTTCAACTCTTTTTTTATTAACAATTATAATTATTTCAAGTATTTCGCGCCGTTCTAAAAATTGAAAGCTATCATAATGTATTAATAGTCACTGAAAAGAGATAAGGAAAGAACTAAAATACAGTAACAAATGGCGGATCGGTATGATATGTGATGATCACATTGTATGATATCGTTTTCGATGTTTTCGTTTTTCTTTGTTTTGTTTTTATTTTCTTTCCTCTTTTCCTTTATGTTGTCTGATGTCTGGCTGTCTCCTTAGCATGTACAAAGATGCATACCACATTTGTTTTCTCTCTCTTTGTCTATGTGCGTGTAGTTCCATCAGTGTGTTTTTAAAAAAAATCACATTAAATCCAGACTTTACCATTATATTTTATATTTGTTTAGATTACATAATTATCTTATTACCAGAATTTATATTAAACTGAAATCGATCTCAAGCATCATGTCTAACAAGAAACGTATAAGACGGTGAGTGTCTCTATGATTTATTTTCTCATAAAAAAAAACTTTTGATTAGATTTGGTACACGTTCCATCATGAAAAAACGCGTTCACCAAAGTATACAACCAATAACAGCATCATCAATACAATCGAATCCTATATCAACAACACAAACAACCACAATAAATCCATCTACATCTTTAAAACGTTCGTCTTCTGCATCACAACAGAAGATTATCAAAAAGAAAAAATTAGATTTATCATCGACATCATCAAATTCAAATATAAATATTCCTATGGATGGATATACAATCATTCAAAATCAAATATTATTTTCTCTTATGTCTAAGACAAATTGCGAAGCTTGTGGAAATCATTGGAATGGAACAATGAACATCAACAAGCGTGAAGGTTTATTTTTGATTATATGTTTTCAATGTTCATCATGTGCAAATAAAATCACTATTGGTAAGCGACTTCTTAATACAAAACTCTCTGTATATTGTTAATCCACACTATTTTTCTTTTCAATGTTTTTTTCAGAAACGAGTCCAAAAGTAGTTTCATCAAATCGTCGTGATATCAATGTTAGATCACAAATAGGTGGACACCTATGTGGACTCAGACATGCTGGTTTATCAAAATTAGTCGGTATTATGAATCTGCCAAGTCCAGTTCAAGATGCAATATACTCTAAATGGGATAAAAATTTATTACCTTCAGTAAAATCATTTTCAAATCGGTCCATGCAAAAAGGTGTTGAAGAAGCTGTAGCTGCTGCAAATAGTACAGAGCTAATGGTTAGCGGTGATGGGTTTTGGCAGACGCGTGGCTTTCAAAGTAGACAAGGTGCAGCAGCTGTTCTTTCTTGTGTTTCAGCACCGAAAGTACTTGATATTGAGACATGCTCAAAAACGTGTAATGTGTGTATGGGTGAGTTTCTTTTTTTCGTATTTTGTTAATTATATCTTTTTTTTTAGGTGCTCTATCTGTTAAAAAATCCGATCCAGCTAAATATAAAGATATTATTAGGTCGCATCAATGTGAAACAAATCACGACAAAAGCTCCGGTGTAATGGAATCTCATGCTGTTCTTACTATGTTCAAGCGATCATTATCAAAGTATAGTGTTTATTATACACGATACGTAGGTGATGGTGATTCAAAAACATTTGCTGTTCTGTCAAAAACAACACCATATCCAGGTATAGAATAATTTGCTTTATTTCAAAAAATATTTTTATCTGTTCAGGAAAAGAAATAAAGAAAATTGAAGACTTGAACCACTTCAGCAAAAGAATGAAAAGAGCATTAGAAACAAAAAAGCGAGAGCTTGGAAGAAAAAAATTATCGGATGGCAAAACTATTGGTGGTAAAAATCGACTTTCAGGTGAGTCTGTCCTAGACAGAACATGTTGGAAAGAAAATAGGTGATACATCTTGATGTTTTTTATATTAGCTCAAGCAATTATTCGGCTTCAAATGGCGTTTCGGTCCACCATTAAAAAATGCAAAAACAATCTTAATTTGTTGCGCCAAAGATCATGGGCCATCTTCTGGCATAAATATTCCACCAACAACGAACCTCATCACGAATGGTGTAGTGTAGACTGGTGCGGTTATTTGAAATCTATTCGTGATGGAACTTCATATGACCACACATCACATGCTTTACCACGCGCTGTTCTCGATGTTATCAAGCCAGTTTTCAAGAACTTATGTTCTCGAGAAAGTCTTACTCGAGTAATTGATGCATCAAGTTCAAATCCCAATGAGGGATTCCATTCACTTGTCTGGCTCATGTCACCGAAACATAAAGCATCGTCTGGAACAACGTTTCAAATTGCTTGTCATCTTGCTGTTATCATATTTAATGATGGTTATTTAGCACTAGGTAAATACTTTATAAACACTTTGATTACTTCTTTTAGCTGGAATTTTAATGCCAGAAACTTTTAAAATATAACATCGATTTTTTGTATAGTTAACTTACTCAATGCTGAATGCGGTTATCGTGGTCATTATACTGAACAAGCAATGATTCATTTCGACAACAGCCGTCTTCATACGGAATCAAAAGAAATGAACAGAAAAAAAAGAAAAGAAGCAAGTCGTATTGTGCAGCAAAATACTGGTAATGATAATGACGATGGTGATGGTGGCAGCGATGGTGATAGCGATGGTGGTAGTAGTGGTGTTAATGACGATGATAATGAAGAGGTTGAAACAACTGATGGTGATGATGAAGAAACAACTGATGGTGATGATGAAGAAACAACTGATGGTGATGATGAAGAAACAACTGATGGTGATGATGAAGAAACAACTGATGAGATTCCATTACACCGGAGCTTTTGTCGTGATTTGTTTCACATTGATGCGACCTAATAATATCTTTATATTTAGCTGGATCGGATTTTT